TAGTATGAACAGCCCCAAGGAAATGTCATTCATTCATTGCTCTATATCACATTCAGAATCCGATTCGTCGTCCGCTAACGTCACGCTTCGACTGGCGTCCATTCGTGAAACGTGGTGGAGCTGAGCGCCGAATCGCTGAGGTTGGCGCTCGACCCAGGGTCAGTCGAGCAGAGGATGATGGCCTAAGAACTAATTAACCCTACCAAATCGTGATAGTTCATCATGTTTGCTGTGGAAGCTTTTCATTAACTGAGTTTCGATAACCTAACCCAAGTATTAACCTAAACCCAATCCTTCACAATATTTTAATTTTTACTCCATATCCGGAGATCGAGGGGGCGTTGGTGCGCTCTTTATTTGGACATGGCGTGGGATGCGTTTTCCGTGGGATATTTCCATTTAAGGCAACTGTCATCTAGTCTTCTGCTGGATAATGAAATAATTAGAATGTCCCGGAACACAAATATCCTGCAAAGCAACGCTCTGTCCATTTTTGGTATATGGAGGTGAATGTACGCTGATTATCCCTAGACTGGCGGTCCCAGGGAAGTCGTCACCTCTTTTTGACGCATAGGGTTTCACCACATTGGCAACACACCCAATTGCATTGTTTCTGACGCTGAAGTTGCCAAATTTTTCCTTTAAATGTTGACCGCAACGCGACCGCGCGCACAACGCTTATCAGCTACGGACATGTTATGTTCTATGAGTGCATCTGCACGTCATAATTTCCCCCCCCCCTCCACCCCTCTTTAACGCGATTCCCATCTCAGAACAAATTTTTTCACAATAAAATTTCTATTTATTTTGATGACTTAATGACATGTTCTGCCATAGTGGGATGGGCGGAGTTTCATGATCCTTGCGCCTCCATCATTGGTGTGGCGTCAGTGTGTATCATATCATTCGTACCAGTCCGCAGAAGGAGCGTGCACAGATGCCGTGCTCCCTCGCAAGGCACACAGCGCCAGATATGGTGAAATTCGGCCGCCAATGATGAAACAGCTAGGGTTCCGAGTCCCCGCCCATCCGATTGTCGCGGAATATGTCTTAACCTCCTAATCCCCTAATCCATTGGCCCAAGTCCATAAGTCGTCTAACTGCTCGACTAACACTGTGTTTTTTCCCTTTCTTATGGGTGTCTCCTTGAATGCGGCTCTACCCTTTCAGGTTAATGGCGTGAACGTATTCACCGTGACGTTCGATCGAGTGGCAAAGAGTGACGTCATCAGTGCAAAATCTGAAGATGAAACACTTCGCTTAATGTATATGGATAGTGGAGAACTACGACAGATTGTTCAAGAAGCAC